CAGAAGTGCCACAGAACAGCACAGCAGCGCCAGGACTCCCCGCCCTCCCCACAGCCCTGAAAGCTGCATTCTTCTCGACAGACACTGCAGAGGACCCGGTGTGCTCGATGTCTGTTCACAACGTGCTCTCAAGGCAAAGCGCTGCACTTCAAACGCTGCCTCTTAAAAACTCAGCTTGCCCAAAGCTCCCTCAACAGCAAGACACGAGTTAACAAAGCAAACCAGACCTCCAGCACCACCTCCTGGAGAAAATCTGCATTTCTGCAAACGCAAAGTTCCTCAAAAATTGTTAATGGAAAAACGGTCTGAGAACTAATGAGGCATGTGAATTCCCCCTATATTCGATTCAATTATGTCTCTCTTCCTAAATCATCTTTTTTTATTTAACAAAACTCTAAACTGCCACATCTAATAAGCTCAGAAGAATCAGCGTACCCTATTCATTTCTGGGAACACGCCGATATTTTCTAAGACCCATTAATAACTATGACAGGATTTATGTACCAGATAAATTCAATTCAATTTCCTTTTTCAATTAATGGCCAATTATTCGAACTCAGCTCAACCAAAAATATTACTCAAGTATCATTAATCTAACAAAAATTAACTTTACTATTCTCTTGGTAATGAGGTGATACAATTTTAAGATAAAATTATGCATTTTAATAAAATGTTGTCTGCCTTAATTTTCAGAACCACTGCTTGCCAGTAGAGCTGAGTTGCACTAAATCAAGTTACTATCATTATGGTGGAGGATTTCAGCAGAGCTCCCTCTTTAGATGCTACCTGAGGAACCCAATGCTTCATTTTAGCCGAAGTTAGAAGTAATTTTATATTAGAAAAAATGATTAGTACATGGAGTCAAGTACAACCAGACAAAAGTATTCACAGCCATATTCTGGGCATTATGTGTAAATAGGCATGTACAAACTTACATAGGCCAGGAGAAAGTGTCCATTTTTTAAAATAAGACTATAAAGTACCAGGGCCTGAAACGAAAGGTTTACAAGAAGCTGCAAACTGCACTATCAAGTTGTTTGGGGACCTGAACGTCTCTGGCTGATATTCGAGGCAGTTTTGTCCATGCTGGTTTGTGTTCAGACTTCAGTCACAGCAGGAATGCCACCAGAGCTGCCTACATGGTTAATTGGGAGCTTCTGGGAAACGATCCTTACCCGCGCAGAAGCTGTCACCCATATCTCATTCGTAACTGTTGGGAGCTCTTAGCTCTGCCTCTGTCATGTTCCCAGAGCCGAGATGCATTAGCTCTAATGCAGCAGCTTTCTGCCAGATCAATCTTCAGGTCACATTACAGTTTTATAAAACCACACACTGCTGAAGCACGGTGTGACAGACTGGTTTGCACACACGTGCTGCCCGCTCTCTACAGCCAGGTCTGCTCAGCATGGCCCCGAAGCTCAGGTGCAGCCCCCCGCCAGCATCACCCTGCACATCCCTGGGTGCTCTTTCTGTTTTGGTGCGCACCAAGCAACTTCTGAGAAGAAATTCCCAGCAGCTTCAACCCACCATCATGGGAAACCCAACCCAACCAAGCAGCCCTGCTCTCCCCATCATGACACCCCCTACCCCCAGCCTGTTTTACACTGCACTCAGTGTACAGGACTGCAGATGACAAATGCCTGCCACCAGGTTCTTTCTGCATCTGGAACAAACCTTTCGGATCCCTACAACACACTAAGTTATTAGTCTCTAAAATCAAATCACTCTGCAAGAGACACTTGGATATCACAGTCTATTTTTACGTCACATAAGTCCTGTAAAAAACACACACACCCTGCTTCTCCTCACCGCAACAGAGGCTGTTTGTCGAAGGAACAGACCGTGGAAAAACATTTTCTCACCGTCAGTCCCAGTGCAGCCAAGCTATGTAACTGTGAGCAGCAAAACCAGATGGAGCTTTGCAGGAGCCAAGCCAAGGAAAGCCTCACAGAAGAAACACTGCCAAAACTGCTAGAAAAAGGGAATACTAGAGCCATGGGGTAAAGGCTAGCCAAACTGCAGCAACTTGGGCTTCTCCCCTTCTAAAGAAAACAGCATCATACAACAATGTATGCAATGAGTGTTTATATTTCAGAGAGAGAGGTAATAATGTAATTACAAAGCTAGCATATGCTGCCAATTCCATGCCGAAGAAGGGATGGAAAAAAAGCCCACAGAAGTTAAGGACTTTTGCAATCAAAGAGAACTAATGAGGAAGCAGGGACATGCAAAACACAGTGAGCCAAGTCACATGGAGATAAGACTGAAACTTTACCCTAAATGGACACAGCGCAACGGTGAAATCCCCATTCATAGTCATCCAGACCATATGTTCCACACACAAAACTGCAGGCAGCTCACACACTGCGGTTCAGTGTGTGAAAATCATCTCTATGAATTTCTGATTTAGATCACATGTTCTGATCTATGTATGAAACTGTGAACATACAGTGCCACAACACGACTATTTGAAGTCCAAAGGTTACGAGGGTCAGCACCAAGGCGCATCCCCATCCTTTCTTCTATAGGCTTCCTGGCTTTGACTCCAAGCCATCGCTACTGGAAAACCAGTAAGGAAAGCATAAAATACTGCTCTACCATGAAGTATTATTATACAATACAAACAAATCCTCTCTCATTCCTTCTTCTCTTCCTTCTTCCACATTGAACTGATTCAATTCTAAAAGGTTTTTTTTAAAGATTACAAAGAATGATTTAGAAAAAAAGCCAGAAATATCTTCCTAGGGGTTCACCTTTATCATTTCAATATGCTTTTGAAAATTTCTGCTTAAGAACTAGAATTCAAAACACTCATACTGCTTCACTACGTCTGTAAAGAGGCAAAAAAAAAAAAATCACCAAATAAATTATACACCACCTCTACTAGTTACACTTGCAAGAACTGCTTTCCTTCTTGAGCTACAGCACACAAGAGCTGGCCCAGCTGCCTTCCAGAGCTGCTCCCTTCCAGGCAGGGCGCCCCACTCCCCACTGCAGACATCGTACCACCATGCAACTGTTCAGTACTTCCCAGTACTTCAGATATTTGTAGGTTATCAGCCGTGATTCCACATTTTCTACTGTGCAAATAGGAGATCCTCAATCTGAAAAGATCTGAGGGCTCCTATGAGAATTACTCTTCCCCCTGTGATCTTCTCCATTTGAGACTGACTGAACCATTTCCCTCAGCACTGCTGTACTGACAGGTGTAGCACTATCAACAAACAGCATGCATTGCTCCACAAGTCCTGTTCTGTATCTTTAACAGATTTAGTAATCAGTTCAACTGACAGAGATTTCATCCAATAGACTAACCAAGCAAATTTGTTATTTTCATTACAAATAATGGTACAGTCTTTATTTTTTCCTCCCTTATTGACAATTTTTGACCAAGTTTTTTTTCCAGTAAGGGCTAGCTGCAGTCAATACACCGTGAGAGGAAAAAGATACGCAAGGGAACGCTTGTGACAGGAAAGGGGGAGTTACAGAAGTGGATGGGAAATCCCACAAAGAAGCACAGCGTCTGGAAAAAGCTGCCAGTATGTGAAAAACAGCATTATTTCTTAAATTCAGAGCTTTGTAAAATACAGAGCTCTTCATAGAACCAGCAGCACACGTGCTGTCCAGACTGCTGTCAAACACTTTAAGAAACTTTTTATCCACCACAGAGGCACCAAAACAAGCATACCTAAGTGATGTACAGTAACTTCAATACCATGAAGAACCATGACTGTCTTTTAAGAGAAAGCTATAGGTGCTTCACTACAGGGCACAATGATCTTCTGTACAGTCCTTCCCTCGTTCAGGATACTGATGATCATCCCCTTCCTCACAACCCTGGGACAGCTGAGGTTGGAAGGAACCCCAGAAGGCCACAGGGCCCAACCCCCACGATGAGCGACCACGGTTTCACAGGGCTTTGCTGGCACAGCTCTGAGCTCTGAGCAACCACAGCACAATTCTGCCCTATTGCTCTGCACCCACCAGGGCTTCCTGCACAAAGTCTTAATGTTCCTGACACATCTGCCCCTCTAAGATTCAGTAAAGCCAGTAGTGCTGGTTTTCCTCCTCTCTGATAAAGAAGAGAAAAAAAATCTCAACATTCCTCCTCCAGTTCCAGCTTCCCTGGGCTCTCAGCCACAGTCACTCAAAAATGAATAAATACAAAACTTCCCAGGCCCTATTCACCTAAGCCACATGCTGCTGTGCTGGGATTTGTGTGCATACGGGGGACACTGGCTCGACCGAGCTCTGTGCCCATGCTGCTGCTTTTGTCCCCTACCCTTCTGTCACTTGCTTTGGCTCCGGATGTGGAAGCTGAGCCCCTGCAAACATTGGCTGAAAACGTTCAGGGGAAAAGGAAGCTGTTGTCCTGGACAGAAGGAAGACAGAGGACTGAAGGACTACTAAACCACTACAGGACTGTTCATTCTTGTACAGTCTAGCAGTAATTACCTACATAGAACAGTAGGTCTACCCACATGCTGGACAGTCCTGGCAATGACCTTACGATCGCCTGCTCTTTATAAAAGAAGTGACAAACATCATTCATGTACCAGTGGAAACTCATGCTACAATTCTTCTCGCAAACCTCCACCCAGGACAGTCTGCCAACAAGCACTAAGGATTCTTAACAGAAATTTTGACTGCTGGCAGCCCCACTGCCCAGCTGGTCAGACCTGGCACCACTCCAGGCTGTCAGATGGTCAAACAGCTTCTTAAATAGAAAGCAATTCTCATTTAACAAGAAGATTGTTAGAGAAAAAAAGAATCACTTTAAATGAAAGGCTTTGGGAATTCTAGTATTTGACTTTTCAGTGGATGCACTTTTGTGAAACCAGCATTTGTATATTTTACAAACTAATGTGTTAGCACAGAACAACTTCGTAAAGATGTAATCCTCATCACGTTAGAAACAGCTCACATACACCAACCAGAAGAACCCGAACAGTTTAACAGAAATTAACCACCTGTTGAACTTATTTAATAAAGAAATTTACCGTAAAATGCTCCTGTGATTTATAGTTCTCATCCAGGTAAACTCGAGCCCTGTTGTAGTCTTTCATCGCATCACTTGATAACAACTCTCTAAAAGATAAAGAAAAGATGGAAAATGAGGGGACATGCAAACATTCCACATTAACTCAGCATCATTCTCCGCACCAAAATGTCATCATTAACCAGAAGAGGACCACAAAGATGATCCGAGGGCTGCAGCACTTCCCTACAAGGCTGGGCTGACACAGCTGGGATTCTTCAGTCTGCAGAAGAGAAAGCAGCAGGGAGACCTTCTAGCAGCCTTCCAGTGCCTGAAGGGACTTCTTGTAAGGACAGGTAGTGACAGAACAAGGGGAAGTGGCTTTCAACTGGAAGAGGGTCGATTTAGACCAGAGGTTAGAAGAAATTCTTCACTGTGAGGCTGGTGATGCACTGGAACAGGTTGCCCAGTGAGCCTGCGGATGCCTCCTCCCTGGAAGCATTCAAGGCCAGGCTGGATGGGGCTGTGAGCAACCCGGGCTACGGGAGGTGTCCCTGCCTGCAGGGCTCCTAGAGGAACCACTGGCTTTTACCTCATTTTGGAACAAGTTTCAGGGAAGGTTTCCTGTGGCAGAGCCATCTACCTACAGGCTGTGGAGCTGAGAACATCAGCATCACTTTCAACATAACTCTCAATGCTTCTTAGTGCCTACTGGATACAGCTGTGAAGGACTTACGACTTTGAACGTCTGAACATTAGGTATAATTGGGTGATTAATGCCATAGCCTCAACTTCCCTGAACTCTATTATCTGCAGACTGAAAGCAGCCTGTTGACTTTCTGCCTAGAACAACATCGTAGCAGTACTTTCTAATTACTTACTTAACAAACTTGTCCACGTGAGACATGGAAGCCTCATAGTTTTTTCCTCCAAATTCTTGACAGTGTAAAGCCATGAAGTGGGGCTTGTGTGCATGAACAACCTGAAACAAACAAAAAACCAAATAAGTATAAAGTTGTATCCAGAGCTACTAACATACAGCATGTACACAATAAATGATGTAAAAGCAGACACTGCATTTCTGAAAACAGAACCATCAGCCAGAGAAGGACCTGAAAGAACAGCAATAAGAGGAGCATCGCTTGTTAGTGTGTGTAAAAGTTTCGTAACACATACTAATAATCTCAAATGTTGTAAGACAGTAATTTTGTTCTTGAACTGTGAATTTGTTACCAAGCACCTGAAGCAAATGCATAACCTCTTCCAGCTCACCTTGAAAAGGACTCAGCAGCACTAGCTGGGTCAGAGCATCTCTTGGCCTGGGATTTGGAAGAATTCCAACACCTGATTTCATTTTATGCTACAGCATCTCAAACTCCCTCAGGATGAAATGCTGACTAGGAATCTCATTTGATATTTTGACTTATGGAACATCTCATCCCCAAAATTACTTAAACATCATTATATGTGCACTGTATACACACTTATCTAACCCAGGAGACACAAACACCCGTTGTGCTATTTTAAATGTTAATCTTACATAGTGAAAACATCTTAAGGATTAAACAGCCAGCACTGTTTAGACACAATCAGACCAAAAGAAGTACAAAGTATGTTCCTTCACTGCACATCAAGTCAAATATGCAGCATTCATACATTCACTGCTGCTTTACACACTGTTATTTTGTCTTTAAGCATTTTGTCAGCATAAACTATATCCAGCATTGCAAAAGCCATGTCTAAAACACCTCTGTGTTGGCACTGAGACTCTACAACTTACATTTAACATTTTATTATCTTCAGAAGTAACGGATACTAGCTAAAAACAATCCAGTTTTGAAGAGGATAACAGCAGGAAGCATTTGCATGTGTGCTGGTGCAAGAAGTGTGCAGACACAGAACTGAAGTAACGGTCACTGGGCATGGTGGGGATGGGCTGGGGTGGGACTCGGAGATCTTAGAGCCTTTTCCAACCTTAATGATCCTGTGATTCACTTGGACACGAACAGGAATTAATGACCTAACTAGGACATGCAGTCATCTTGCCATAAGGATTCAGGTCCAACTAGAGTGGGACACAGCAAAAAAGTTAACTGAAAAAAAAAAAAAAAAGAAAAGCAGACAACAGACAAAACAGCTAAAAATACCAGAGCCAATGAAGTTTGGCCCAACTTGATACATGCATGTACTTTTCCTTTATGCGTTTGATATAACTATGAAAGCTTACATTAATAACAGCTGCCTTTACAGGTTTATCAGTAATTAGAAGAGAAGGCTCCAGCCCTTAGCCCAGCACCAAATCCCGTGCTGAACAGCACACTGTTACGAAGCGCCCGTGAACATGCTCCTTGGTACGGCTGCCAATACTAGAAGTTTTCATTGCCAGAAAACCAAACATTGTCTCACTTTTCAGCCAGACCCAACCGGCAACACCAGAGCCGCAGGAACCAACGCTGCAAGCAAACCTGCCCGCAGCCAAAGGGAGCAGCACCCCGGGGAGGCGGCGGGCGGCAGACGCAGCGCCAACCCGCAGCAGGGCTGCGCTGACGCAGCAAACGCAGCGCGCTCCTACGGCCGCCTTCCGCCTCACGGGCAGCGCAGCACCGACCCAAGCAGCGCCAGCCGCACGGCAGGCGGCGCTTCAGCCCGGCGGCGCGGCGCGGTCGTGGGGCTCGTTTCAGCCCGTGCGCTCTCCGCAAACACCGACACTTCTGCTCCGCCAATCGCCTCGCAAGGCTGTGTCCAATTTACGATCACTATAAAAAAAGCACAGCGTTCTGCAGAAAAACACACATTCTCATATGCATCAGAAGGCAGGACATCAAAACGCATGAGAGAGGGAGCAAGATGGATTAGGGAGCACCTGCCTGCTGCCACACTGTCCAACAGCCAAACAGTAATCAAGCGTCTTCATGAAGTTTGGTTGTTGGTTGATTTTCTTTATCGTCTTGGAGACATATTAACCAAACTCAACTTGCGACGCTGGGCTCTATGACAGAGCTCATTTGTGGTCCCTAAACAATACAAAGTCCCAACGCTCTATGTGCTTTATTGCTCCAAATCAGTTTTGGCTTCCAACTACAGATCTTATCTATTCTGATAGCTCTCTGAAATCACCATAATTAGAAAACAATTGTAACTGTTCAATGTTGTAAAGCAGACACATGCAATTCTGTTTCAAAGCAATACATCTACCAAACACTTGTTTCAAATAACATAAAAAAAAAAAAAGCATCAACACACGACATTATTCTTTTACAATCATACAAGAGTTAGGATCTCTTCTCACACAGCGAATATAACTAAGAAATTGCTAACTCCAAACTAAAATGAATAGTTTCAGAGAATGTAGGCACCAGCTGCCTCATCACATGCATTAAGGATGAGCAAGAGGGAGCCCTGAACATGGGATCCTGCAAAGAAAACACTGGAGAAATACTTTGCTGTGCTACAGCAACAGCAGAAAACATTGAAGCCTAGCAATTCCTGGAATCTGAATTGAGATGTACGTAGGACAGAGATCTCGGTGTATACTCAAATCTCTCAGTCTGAAATCACAGCAGGCGTAACAACAAAAAACTGCACACCACTTTTTGAAATGGGGAAATTGCCATAGCAGTGAGAGGCTTTAGTAGCATTCCTTGGAGGTTAAAGCACAAAAACACACCTGACTACTAGTTACATCATTCACATAACAAATACCTTCAAACTATGAGCAAATTGGTTCTGCTTCATTACCCATTACTAGTTTTCAACTGCGATAAAAGAACAGTACATAATAATGAATAATGGATGTTTCAGAGTTTTAAGTCCACATTTGCCAAAGGTTAAGGATCAGATATTAGATGACAAATACTGAATGTGCATCTATAACAGATCAGTATTTTTTAAAGCTAGGCGTTACTCTTGATTACCGGATGCACAAAACACAACCACACAACATCCCAGGCCGGAGGGAACCCACGAGGACCAGGCGCCAGCCCCGTGCCGCACGGCAGCACCCACCCCCAGCCCTACAGCTGAGCAGTGCCTGCGCTCCGCGGCTCAGAGCCGTGCCCACCGCCCTCTGGGGCACAGCCCTCCCCTAATCCCAGCTCCCTTGAGCCCTGCTGATGTCTGCAGAGCTCGGAGCCCTGCCTCCACTCTCCTTGAGAGGAAGGAGTTGAAGGGCCACCACAAGGCCCCACCTCAGCCTCCTCTGAACCAAACAAACCGAGGGACCTCAGTTGCTCCTCGCACCTCTTGATCTCTTGCCATCTTTGCTGCCCATCTCTAACAGTTTCACATCCTGCCTCTGTCGTGGTGCACAAGGTGCTCAAAGGTTCTTCTGTGTGAGGTCTGGCAGCACCTGCTCTGTCTCTCCTGCTGAGAAGCTGAGCATGGCACAAAGGAGCTGAGGGGAGCGGTGCAGGGCATAGCGCTGCCAGGGCCCCCTCCTGCAGCGGGACAGCTGGGTCTGGGCAGGCTGGGGACAGTAGAATCATTGAATAGAAGGTTGGAAAGGGCCTACAAGATCATCGAGTCCAACTGTCCTCCCATCACCATTGCTACCACAAGCACTAAACCAGATCTCGTAGCTCCTCATCCAGACGCCTCTTGAACACTGCAGGGACGGCGACTCCACCACCTCCCTGGGCAGCCATTGCAGTGCCTGACCACTGAGAGAAAAAGTTCTTCCTTATGTCTAATCTAAACCTCCTCTGGTACAACTTGCAGCCATTGCCCCGTGTGCTGCTCGTTGCCTGGGAGAAGAGGCCAAACCCCTCTTCACCACAGCCTCCCTTCAGGAGGTTGCAGAGTGCAGTGAGGTCTCCCCTGAGCCTCCTCTTCTCCGCACTGAACAATCCCAGCTCCCTCAGCCGCTCCTCATAAGGTTTGTGCTCCAGACCCCTCACCAGTTTCGTTGCCCTTCTCTGCACACGCTCCAGAACCTCAACATCTTTCCTGTAGTGAGGGGCCCAAAACTGAACACAATGCTCGAGGTGTGGCCTCACCAGTGCTGAGTACAGGGGGATGATCACCTCCCTGCTTCTGCTGGCCACACTATTTGTAATGCAGGCCATCTTGGCCACACTGCTGGCTCGTATTCAGCCGAGCATCAACCAACACCCCCAGGTCCTTTTCCTCTTCATAGTCATCCAGCCACTCAGCCCTAAGTCTACAGCGCTGTATGGGGTTACCGTGGCCAAACTGCAGGACCTGACACCTGGCCTTGTTGAACCTCATCCCATTCACCTCATTTGTACTTCTGTGCTCCTTATCTGCCATGGGAGGTAATGCCTGGGCCTGACTCAGCACAGAGGAAGACAGTCTGTTGCTAGCAGTTGGAGCTGAGCTCTGAGCAAAGCTCCCTGCGTGAAGGAGCTACTGCTGCACAAGCACACTGCGTATCAGAAGGCGCATGGCTGAACATGACCTGGTGTATTATTATACCGCAGTGCAGCCACAACAGAAAAAAGTCACTACCTAGCAATTACTAGGTAATTTTTAATGCCACTTAAGAGTATGCTGAAACTACTTGCAGTAGTTAGTTACTCCACACACACACACACAGCAGGAAACTCAAAAAGCCTGTGTGGAGTGTAGCAATTGGACAGATTCAATAGGATACAAAAAGGTGTTTTCACCAGAGGTGTAATGATGTAAGGACTGGCACGACATAAAGGTGCTATAAGAAGAGAGGAAAAGATTACTTACCCATACGAGAAGATTCAAGGCTTGCAGGGGAAAACTCCAGGAAGGGATCAAGGGATCTCCAGAAAGAGCTCCTTCCCCAGCAGCAGTCAGCCCTTAAATGAGGTCTAAGAGAGGTGCAGCCAGGCTCCACCCCTTCTGGTCACACAGCTGAATTGCCTTAGCTGTGCTCTCAGGGCTGACCTGGTCCTTTCCCAGGTGCTCAATCAGTGCTTCAGGCCACGACTCAACAATTCCCATATAAGGAATTATTTACATTTAACAATACTTCGGTGCCATTCTTAAGTA